ATTGTGTTTCAGTTGTTGTGTTACTAAGATAGTATGATGTGATTATCTGTGTAAAGTGAAATAGGTTTATGTTTTTGATTAAATTAAATATTAAATTATACAATTTTAAATTTTTACAACATTCAGTCCACTCCAATTGGAGACTTGGAGATTTCTTTTAGTTTTAGTTCCCTGAAAAAGTATTCAGAATTTAAAATTAAATACATTCCTTAATAACATGCCATTTTTATTTAATGATTTAAAAAAATGTATAATGTATTAATAAATCAAAAGGTTGTTTTTATTTCTGTATTTTCTATTCTTTTGGTACCTACTACCTAATATTTTATTCATTCGCATCTAATAATTTAATTCTATAGATAGAAAAGCTATTGGCTATTTTCTGTGTTCAATAATATATATGATTTTTATTATTTGATACCATATTGCTGGTTATTTATATAGACATTAAAAAAAAAATTACTTAAGTTAATAAGTTAATGGAAAATTTTCATATAACTTTTAACTTAACTGGATTTAAAAAAAAAATAGGCTAACTGTTAACTTTAAACTTTTTAAAATGTCTTTACATTAGTATTAGGTATTAGTATAATATAATAGTATTATATCATAGGTATTAGTCTTGTATTTTAAATTTAGTAAAAACAACCCAAGTAACTGTGAAAAAATGTGTACAATACTTAACGGAATATAAATAAGAGTTAAATCTACAAGAAATCTAACGCCTTGTAGGATCAGCTTGTAATTAGTATACAATCCTATACCAGAAACAAAATATAATACATTGATTACCTCTTTTATATTATATTACCTCATTAATTTATAATGAATAAGAAATGGGAGATGAATGAAGACAAGTAAATGCAAATGGTTATATGACATATAAAATAACTCATCATTTGCTCCAAAATGTGTAGCACGTAAGCGCCAATCTAATATTATACATTTGTTATACCCAATCTATGACATAAAAGTCAAAGATGCAAAAATAACATATCATTCGCGCCAAAATTAATAATATGTCAACAAATAAGTATAAATTTAATATACTCAAATATACTATAATGGTACACAGATACCTACTATCTATAAGATTTTGGCACTTTTGTATACGATACGACTTTGTTTTCGAACCTTTCTAATTTTGGCGCCTACGTCTTCCACCAAAACAAATTTGAGCTGCTCAGTAGCTGACTTACAAGGGGAGGGTGTCATATCCCCCCTTTGACTTATTTTTTAAGTATAAAATGTATGAAAAGGATGTTTATTATATTATAACGTGGTCTGAAAAAAGCCAAAATTCAAATCCCCCTTCTCTTTCAAAAAAGCGGAGTAAGCCACTAGAGCTACTGCATTAGCGAATGTTCAAGAGCGGCGAGTGCACACTTTTACATTTTTAAACTATCATTTAATGATAGGTATGACCGTCTGAAGGTTATATAGTAAAAAAAATAGGTAGGTAATATACAATTTTTGTTTAGTTTACATATGTACAATATTAGGAGATTAGTTTGTAACTAACATTAAAGGTACCTTAATAAGCAAAACAAATTATAGTAGGATGTATATATGAGGATAGCTTTTTTTTCGGGCGATGTATTATGGGTGCACAGAAAGGGCCAATTGTAGTGAATAGTGGCACACAAAAAAGGTCATCTAGTGAAATACTACTAGACTTTTACTAGCTAAATACTTGACATTTTCAGAGTAAATTGGTACCAGCATATAAGGGTGCACTAAGTAAGAATTTTCTAAAACTCTCATTTTAAAAAGGTGCTCACACAAGGATTTTGAAATTCCCTATGGCTAACTATCATCAACACTTTTTTGTTTATACTTTAGTTGCAAGTTACGATGGGTTACAGATAATGTTAGAAATATAAAAAATTAGTAGAAATTAATATTATTTCTTTCAAATGGTAATTAATTGGTTACTATAGTACAAATGAGGTTAAACATCTAATGCATAAATTTGTTGCACTTACATAGTCTCGAAGCTATATTTTAAAAACGAATGTATATTTGTAGCTTATAAATATTCAACTACTACTTGACTGATTTTACTAAAATCTTAGAGATTGTTTTCTTAGGTTAGGTTATTTTTAAAATAATAATAGTTTGTATTGTGTGTAATTAATCATAAAAATTGTAATAATTAATCTCAATTTTTGTATAAAATACATTTTTTACTACAAATGTGGCACACAAGATTTAAAAAATAATAATACGTGGCCCGCTGTATAAAAAGGCTGAAGACCCCTGGATAGAAATAGCTTGACCAAGTCAAGGTAATTTGACTACTATTTCCTATTTAGTATATACTTATATACTACTATACTAGTAAAAGTTATGTAATCTACTTACATGCAATATGAAAACTACAGGAGGAAATTTCAATACAATTTGACACAACATCAATATTTAAGAACTTAAGTTTAAAAACATAATAAAATGAAAAAAGAGTATGATGAACTATGAGGAAAATCAATGATATGAATCATTTAAAAATAATAATAGGAGATTTGATTTAATGCTAAATTGCAAAAAAAAAATGTCATTATAAATTGTTTATAAAATAGTTCAGTTATGTATTCATATTAAATATAATAAACTACATTTATTTCACTTTTAAAATTATAATTTGATTAATGTACAGTTAATACTATTCTGAGTTATGGAATACATTTTAAAATGTTTTGAATGACACTTGTAAATATTAAAAAAATAAACATTAAAAATTAATTTTAACACTTTAACATCAACATTAAAATATAGATTCATAATGGTATGGATCTAATGATCTTATATCTCTCCAAGTTGATGGGTATCCTTCACGCTTTATTTTTCCACAACATTTACATGCCATTTTGTATATCATCAAATAACTATTGAACCAAGTATATAAACAAAACAAAGATATAAATAATTATTTTTATACTATTAATTAAAACAAATAAGTTTTCGTTTAAAACTATCATGAATGATCAAACTGAAAGATCTAGCAATGTTGGTGAATAAAAATGTAGCATATAGCAGCTGCACTAGCATGATCAATTATCACACAAAACACATAATATCTTGATTCTTGCCAAACCTCTTGTTTAAATCATGAAGTTTAATAGGCTCATCAAATCCCTTAAAAAAAACCAATTTAATCATAATGCCTTTAAATTATATAATGGCATGTAAACATTTACTAAAAGTAATCTAAATGTAAAAAAAAATTTAACTAATTTTTAATACTGTATGTAGCATATATTTTTACTTTTTGAGAAAAATACTTTCGATAAGACAATATTGCATAAAATTACCTATTTATCTTCTAACCTGTTTTATACATATTATCCATTTAGTAATTAATACTTAGTATAGAATAAACGCAATTATTTAGTACTCATACATAACAATGTATGTTACAGACAGCTAATTTGAAAGTGATTAAAAAAATTGTAGCTCTTGAATACATTGGAAGTTTACCAAAACTGTAGTGGTTTCAATAAAAAAAAAAAAATGTATTTATAATCATTATTGTTATCTATAATGATTAATATCAACAAAAACTTAATAACATTAAGTTTATTCATTAAAAAATAAAAATAAATTTACCTACATAAAATTCTTTTTTCTAAGTTAAAATTGCCATTGCAACAGGAGATCATTGTAATTCATCCCCTCTTCCTTCTAAGAATAATAAATAATGGAAAATATCGGTTTTACATGTTTTTATTGAAATTACAACGTTTTTTTTAAGTAACTTTCATTGTAAAAAGAGCAACAATCACTAAGATTGAATTTAACAACTTTGAAAAAGCAAAAATAAGTAGAAGTACGATGCTGCATTTTAACAATGATATTTTGTTGAAAATTATAATGAAAATAAATAATACATTTTTTTGTGTTTTGCTTAAACTGTAAAATAGAAAATAAATATTGAACCAAAATTACCAATCGAAAAACATTTAATTCAGAGCGCCTCGTTATAGTAATACTCAGATCAGGAAACATCCGAACAATATTAGTTAATAATACATCAACTTACTGCTCTTAAAATAATTATTAGATACCTCATCAAACTAAACATTAATTTTTATAAACCTTTAGAATATAACTAGATATTTACTGTGGTGATATATTATGGCATTATGCGAACTAGACCGCTGTTGTTTCTTCTTACTCAACTGGAATTTGTATAGAATTCAACTCCATATTTTATTTGCGTGTATTATGTTTATCAAACAGGTAGGTATAGATGTAAAAAGAAATTAGTATAATAAATAGTTTCTTATGGTCAATATAATAGTTTTTAATTAGGTAAAGAAAACTGTACAAAATACACCGAACTGGTTATTACTTATTAAAAATCAATATTAATTTTTTGGCGAGTTGATAATAGTATCTAGACTTACTTAGATAAAGATCATCAGTACGACAACGTTCTCCGTACAATAGTACTATTATGGACAGAACAACAGACCTGGATGCGTCCATTATTTATATTATCCTGGACCTCCACTATTTTATGTTTTTTATACAATTTCTTTGCAGTTTTGGACAGGAAGCATGGCAGGTACATCAACTTTACTACAACAACACTGAGATTTGGCTTACAACCAGTGTCGCCATCCTTAATAAACGATGTATTGTGTGTTACTTCATTTGATTGATTGTATGTAGGTACAGAGTTGTATGTTCCATTGCTTATTCTAAACACGAGAATAATACATTTTTTAAACAAAATCAAAAAGTAATTTAAATATTATTCATGGAATTGGAAGGAATTCAAATGTAATAGTCTTATGTAGGCTAAAGGGGGTACCTATAATATTCCCAACGGGAATATAAGTATTTGTCATTGCGTCAACCCTGATTTTGGTGTAAAATTTACCTTCATATTAATTCATAAAACCATACCCTTCTTATCATAACCTCTCTGTATAGTACTTCGATATCTAAGTCTTTGCCCTTGGGCTACAAACAGCAGTCAGAAACGCCCAACAGGTAGTCAATTTCTATAATTTGTGAGGTTACTATATTATTTACTATTAGACTCGAGTAATACAATTAGTTACTAACGATTAATAAATTAAAATTTTTGTCAAGTGTTGTTATAAATTACTTACCTAAAACAGAACTTTAGTACATAACAACATACCTACGGTCTTTGTGTTGAGTTACATAGGTATTTCTATTGAATTTGCTTAATTACGTTTACTCAGTCAAAATGGAACAACATCATCGACAACTGATCAACAATCATATGTCAGATTTAATATATGTTACTTCTGATTTAGAAACTATTGTTGATAGTTTATTAGAAAAAAATGTTATCAACGAATGGATGAAAAATTATATTTTGGTAAGAAATTTAAATTTAATTTTTTTCTTCTTCGGAACATTATGTATTATTCATGATTTACAAATGTTTTAATTTATACTTGTTTTTTGGTAGGAAAATAAGGAAGAATCAATCAAAAAAACCAAGTTGTACGAAGTAATTCAAAGACGAGGGCCTACAGCCTTCACAGCTCTATGCAGAATATTAGAAGAAACAAATAACTTAGAAGCTTGCAACATTTTAACATCATCCAAAGAAAGGTATCCTTTACTTATTTATCAATATTAAAAAATTAATTTGGTTATTGAATAAAAGGAAAATGTTTAATATCTAGTTTTAATTTTAAGTAAAGTTTATTGGTTTTGATGTTTTACAATGATATTTTTCAAACATCAAGTTTGATTGTATTCTGAAAAGGTGGTTAAAAATTTTTTCTGTGATCATTAAGATACATATTTCGTCATCAACAATAGAATATATTTTTAAAAAATGAGATGAAGCATCGATCAAACAAAACTTTTCCTAAGATTATTCCTAAAAATGTTCTATTAATCCATTCAAATGTGATACCAAATTGACACTATTGTGAATACATTAAAAAATAATCATACAATTGTAGATAGTGAAGGTTGCATCCTCTACCCATGTTCGATTTTCTCAGGAATCAACTTAAGATTCAATAATGTATTTAATAATTTATCTTAAGCAAAGAGTATGATGTACTAATTATTTTCCATAACTCTATAGCTGAATCACAATGGATGAAAAACATAGGTCAATATAAACTACTCTAACTTAATTTTTCCCAAAGTTTCCTTTTTTCTCTCTGATTTCCTCGTCACCACCCTTACTTTTAATTTCCATTTTAAACAACTAATACTACAGTAAATATTACCAAATCACTAAACAACACACAAAAATACAATAAAAACAAGTAAAAATGTATTATTAGAAATTAAGAACTCTCAAAACTATATACCTATAGTTATTATCCTATTAACACATAAATTAGACAATGTGTACAATATATTTCTATTCTATTTTACTATCATGTACAATATTTTAATATTTTTTATTGTGTACAATATATTAAGTAGGTAATATCAAGTAAATACTTGCTAGCTAGATGGTTATATGGTAATCAGTTGATATAATAAAAGTCAGATTTAGCTGTAAATCTGGCATTGATTTAAATGCAATAAAAAACAAGAAAAATGCCTTAGAAAAATTTGATTTAATGCTAGTGTATATTTCAAAGCTAAATAAAATGCCCAGATAAATTAGATGCCAATTTAAATTAATATAAAATACAATTTTTGTTTGATTTCTTGTCGCTTTTTAAAACTATTGAGAATTTAAAATGTTGACCTCCTATATTAAATTCACTTTCCAACTAGAAAATATTTGTTGAAGAAAATCGGAGCACTTTTACTGTCTCAAACCCTGATGACCAACACAAAAATAAAATAAAAAAACACACATCGTTGTAAAATCAATACCGCTCAGAATCTAAAATACAACTTCTATGCATTTATATAAAAATATGTTATTATGAAATAAGTAGTCATTTTTTATCAAATATGCAAAAAAAATCTGACCATAGAATCTACACATTACAAAATGTCAGCATTTTGAATCAAAATCTATTTTTTGAAAAAAAATATATTCCTTGTGAATTAAATTTATATTTAAAATTTTTCTAGAAAATAATATGTAGTATAGAATAGTAAAGACAACCAACTGTACATGTAGTAATTGTGTTTATTATGTTTTATTTTAATTTTATACTTTTATTATATTAACTAATATTTTAAAATGTATTAACATTTTTCAGCGAGGAAGAACAACAGCAATTAAGTTCAATTAAATTATTAGACACAACATTTAAAAAAACCATTTCAGAACATGATGACTCGTTTATAAAAATTCATCCTGAACGCAAATTCATTGAAAATGATGTAAATAATTTACAAAGTGGTCGTGGTGTATGTTAAATGTTTATTTTAATACTTACTTTAAATATTAAGAAATTGAATTAAACATAAATGTTCACAGGTTTATCCGATGAGATCAAATCCTAAGGGTCATGCTTTGATTTTAAATATTAACAATATACAAGATGTAGACCAAAGAACAGGATTTGATGTTGACATGGCAAATGTAAATAAATTATTTAAAGGCCTTGGATTTATTGTTCACTCTAAAGCAGATTTAACTGAAAAAGTAAATAAGCAAATATATAATGATATAAAGCTTAAAAATAAATGCCATGCAAAACATTAACATAAAATTTTTTTTTTTGTTTGTAGGACATCAAAAATGTTATTAATGAGTTCATGAATATATGCCATAGTGAAAAAGCTAATTCTATTGTTGTTTTTATTTTGTGTCATGGTGAAACTGGAAAAGAATCAACCAGATCATCTGGTATATTATCCGAGGATGGCATTACAATAAGTACTGACTGGATGATTGAACAATTTGTGCGCAAAAAATTATCTGGAAATATACCAATGTTATTTTTTATTGATGCTTGTCGGTAAGGTATAAATATTTTTTTTGTATATTTCATGTACAATAAATACTTCCTTCTATTTATTTTAGAGGACAAAATAGTGACTTTGGTTGGAAATATTGCAATGGTGAGAATAATTGTTTACCGAATGCTAATGCTGATATGTACCCAATCGGAACAGTTTTGGATAAACGTTATGAAGATGTTTTCATAGCATATGCCACTCTTCCGGGTAATAGTTATTATAATCACAGTTTAAATAATATACTTAACAATAATAATAATTAACTTAACCTCTTATCAACAGTTTATTAAAAAGCTTAAATTTTTTCCCAGGGTATACTGCAATACGTGATCCAATAGATGGGTCATGGTTCGTACAAAAATTGTGTCAAGTATTTCGTGAAAATGCCTATGATACTGAATTGTTTAGAATGATGTGTTTGGTAAATAATACATTTTATATTTAAAAATTATTCATATCAATGTTATTATAACAAAATTAATATGTTTTTTTAATAACCTTAGGTGGATATTGAATTAGATAAGCTGAGCAGCTTTGAGCACGGGTCTCAAACAGCAGAGTGGTCATATAGAGGTTTCAAAAAGTTTTACTTCAACCCAGGTCTATATGATGATAATTCAGATAATGATATTTTAATGACTACTTCAATCAATCCTTCTGATATTTAAGCAGAATATTATTTTAAAATTATCTTTTAGTTAAATATATATTAAGTCTGAATATTTTTATATTCATAAAATCTATATAAATAATACATTTATAGTTTTTTTATACTAAATATTTTTAGTTGTACTCTTGTACTGCATATAAGTTTAACAAACGTTTTTTATGCATTTTTAAACTTACTATTTTTAATTTATATAAATAATATTCATAACAAATACATTATATTTTATTATTCCAGAGAAAATTAAAATAATTATATTGCTTTGAAACATATTGTGATTGAGCTACAACAATAAATTAGTTAAATAAATTAAAAACTTATATTTATTTATTTTAACAATAAATTCATTAAATTAATAATAATATCACAGAAATAAAAATTATATTGACACTCTATTTTTAGTCTGTTTGAAATATATTAAATAAATAATGAGTTGAAGGAAAGTTATGATAAAACATTTTTTATACAGGTAACTAATATGGTAAAAATAATTTAATATATTTTTGTCATAATCTACATTTTGTGTATCTAACTACAACTGTAGATGTTATTTTTGCTATAGGCTTTGCTAGGTATAATTTTCGTTAAATTATTTGTTCGTTTTGTGGTTCGGTGAAGATGAATGATTAGGAATTTAAGAAGTATATGGCAATATATATCTACCTACCCTATCATCTCCAGCTATACTACTAGTTGTCCTATAAGCAAAACATAATATTGTCCGATAATATGATTATGAAATCATTTGAGTAAATTTAATTTCAATACTTTCTTTTGAATTTAGTGATTACTGCTTTGTATTCAATGGAATCGCAAATGGAAATATTTAAAAGGGTTTTGTATAGGCAAGTCTTTTCATTACTTGCTGTCACTGACAGTCTTTGTGTCTATCGTACATGATCATTGGTGAGTGTGAGCGCCCCATTAATCACGCGCCTCACGCGCATGTATTTAGTCATTACATAAAAATAATCAAAACCAATTTATGGCCATAAAATAGCTGTATGACTGACAAAAATTAGGGTACTTCTAGTTGTTGGATTTAAGAAATGTAAAAATAATTGAATTGTTAAACAAGTTTACTTTGAACCAGTCTGATCACTTTTTCAATTTTAGCAAATCCTTAACTAGAATATATATTTTACTTTTAAAAATTTGTTAATGTTTAATGTATTAAAAGATTTAGAATATATAAATATTTATAATATATGCTCCGATCGATGCAAAGAAGGCTTGTTTACCAATTCAAACATTTGATAGTCAAAACATCACAATTTTCACATCAAAATTACTGTTCTAATATAAACACCATACTAAAATTAATTATATCGAAAAAATCGAAGTATTTACTTTAGCAGAGATAAATTATTTATATACATATTTGCTTAAATTGTTTGATGAACTAATATGTGTAAAAATATATTATTTATAAATGACTGATACCCAACTATAAAAATCATGTTTTTTTATTTATTATTAAAAAAAAAAACAATGGATATCTTAGCTATTTGTTTTTTTTGTCGTATAGATCGTTGTTTTTTACTAGTTTCATGTGACTAAATTTTTATTGCACCATCTAACCTTTGTACCACTACGTCACTATGTAAGTGTGCTCTGCGAATCATTCAAGACGATCGATGACGGTTTTTGAGTTTTGAACACCATAACGCCGCATATTAATTAACGAATTGAACAAAGTTTAAATCATATAGGTAGAGTTTGAATTTACTCTATTTACTAAATATCACTTTATAGACCCAACTATAGTGAAGTACCTGCTATTAGCCCGTATACCACATATAACCCACCTCGGATGCGCCAATTTTTACACACATGAAGGTACATACAAACACACCAGATTACCTACTGGCTATAAACTAGTGATTTGGACGTTTCAGTGTTTCACTCTATGGTTATACTTTAATTACTTATTATTGAAAGAGCTTTTTTTATTAATAACATGTTACTATGTATATTTTATTTACAAAGTCGTACAACAAAAACACCAAAGAACCGTTAAATAAAAAATGAAAGTTGATACTATTTAAATGTATGACAGAAAAGATGAGTAGATGACAATATGATATGGGACAATAAATAATTCCATCGTTGAAAATGATAGTAAATTATATGATTTGAACGAAATACATTTTTGATCAGCAGAGATCACTCGACATATTATTATCTAGAAAATATTTTCAAGGTTATATTTTCAATTTAAATATTAAAAAAAGAAAACAATTTAAATGTTTTCAATTGAGAAATATATCATTTTAAAATATTGTAAAACAATGATATTGGTACACAATTTTTTACTATAATTTATTATGAATCATAGAAAAAATACATTTTAATTACATTCTACTAGCAGGGGTGGTTCCAGAGACTTGGTTGGGGGGGCCTAATAGTTGTAATTTTCACAAAACTTGTAACAACAAATATTAAATAACAATTTTTACGACTTTTATTATTTATTTTTAGAATAATAACAATACAATTCTTATCAAAACAATATTCTTAGNGTATTTCCCCAAGTTATTTAGTATTCTCGTAGTCCACACAGATAGAAGATGCATGTTACAACTCATACACCGACGTACCTCCAATAATTACATACTTTTAAGCGGGTCTATAATAGTCGATACTATAATATGTTTTTTTGTTAGTAATTTTTTGTTGCTAAATATACAATTTTTTAGAAATACGGGTTTTGGGCCTTGGGGGGGGGGCGTGGCCCCTAGGCCCCCCCTGGAACCACCCCTGTCTACTAGTAGAAATTTGAAAGTAATATTGCCTCAGTTGGGCAACATTATTTTGTTTCGAAATCATGAATTCGGATTTTACTTACTAAATGATGGTCTAAACAATACAATTATACAGTTATAATTTATAAGAGTTATTAAAATGTACTCATGTGCTATAGTCTACATAATAAAACATTTTACTCGATGTGCGTTGATCTCTAATAGATGATCCTATAATTATAACCGATTATTTTAAATATTATTCACTGATTACACGCTGTGAAATGTAGACGAAATTAACTATTAAACATCGAGATTACAACCTTGGAACTGAATTTAGTTGGTAAGTTCAGCAGAGGGGTTGCGTACTTTCTTAATTGTTTTAGTTATTCATAATAATATATAGGTACAAAATATAGATGTTGGTTGGGACGTCATCATATTATATTCATATAAAAACTTTATACGTAGGTACGATTGTACGAATATGGATGAAATACAAACAATATCCATATGACCAGAGTTTCTTATATCTTAGTTTCTTTTCCTATACAAATTACCACATCACGTTTGTATACTGTATACCCGGGGCGGCCAAATGGTCGATCGCAGACAATTTCAAAGTCGATCATGTTAGAATTTATTTTTAGGGACACGCGTACGAAAACTAATCGAGGTTGTAGTGAACGAATTATCGATAAGTTTTATCTGTTTAACTAAACATTTTTCTATGAAAGTCGAACCTCAAAAGTGAAGTATATTTTTAGTAGATAGTGATCAAAAAAAGTTTGACCACACCTGTTGTATACGAACATAATGCGTAAAAACGATCGTTATAACTTATAAGTGCACGAACATTTTCGTATGCCGCATAAAATAGAACACCAGGAATTACAATTTTACTTTCCGGTTAACTGTTATTTTCTAGTTGTTTTCTGTTTTCTTAAATCAACAATTTTTGAGGAACATATAACTACATTTTCAAGTTATTTGACGAAGCGAAAAGTTTTTTATCGACAATAGTTTTAAAAAAACTTATCAACATTTTCTTATGCCTAGAAATATGCCTAGAAATATAGCTCAAAAAAGGTCGAAATATTTTTAAAATTGTCTTATATACCAAAATATATGTTCAGCAGTTCCAACTCCGTATTGTTAGTTTCAATATTAAAGTGAATTAACCAATTATAAAATTGATTTATTGATATTATTATTTTTAAGTAAGTTATAATCATTTTAAAATATAAATAATAATATCAATAAAATCCTACATTTTGTTACATATAATAATCTGACATTTAAATTGAATGATGATCAATTCATTCTATTTTTAAAAATAACAATGTAAAATGGATTATTGTTAATTTAAAATATTGTGCTACTTTGTAGGTTTGTAAGGCGGATACAACACATGCATGTGCCACGTCCCCTTAAGAGGACGTAACACTAGTATTTGTTGTCTCCGTCTTACCTGTGCGTAATATAGCAAAATTACGCTCGGAAAACACTTATAGATCCTTTAGTTTAAAAATTAGAGTAAATCGACCTATTACAAAACTTGATGGTAAGAACATTATCTGTGTTTGTATGTTAGTTTTTTGCGACAATTCAATTTTTAAGTGAGTTATGACCATTTTTAATTTACCGTTTATCACATACATTTAACTTGCTAAAAAATTGAATTATTGCAAAAAACCAACGTACAAACACAGATGATGTTCTTACCATCAAGTTTCATAGTAAGTCGATTCACTCTAATTTTTAAACTAAAGGAGCTACAAGTGCGTAATTTTGCTATATCACGCACTGGTGAGACGGAGACAACAAATACTAGTGTTACGTTCTCTTAAGAAAATGTATCATACCTGAATGTGTTGTCTCCGCATTACTGTTATGCATAACGCAATTAGACAGACATCTCCTTACAATGAAAAATAACAACAGTCCCGTATAACCTATATATTCCGTAAATTTTGTTAACGAAAACTCCTTTGTGACGAAAATATCAATTGGAACCGAGCGATAATGTTATATAAGGTCTTACTGAATTCTAATTTCCACCAAAATAAATTTATGTATTATTTCAGATATTTTTTGAGAACCCCTGAACCTAAATCCATAAAATCGTTGTACGTCGATTGTTGGCAGTTGTCCATTCTCGCCTCACCTCACCGTCACCGCGCAATCTTTAAGATCGTATCGAATCGCGGGAGCCTTCGCCTCGCCTATGCCCCGATCAGCGACCTGGGGTGGCTTA